TTAGAAAAGTGCTAGTAAGTATCATGTGAAGTTCTGCTATGATATTTTTGTTACTGAAATGTAGTTCTGCTATATTTTTGTAGCAGTATGAACAATAGTGCAATCCATTGCTCTTGTGTGTACCTGAATTTTAACTCTTGAATGAATCTGATGTTTCTGAGGGCACAGAATTAGGCTGTGGTGAACACAGCCAATGAACTCTTAGACTTCATTTCTCATTTAGCAGAAATAGAACAAATGGAAAAGACAGTGTATTGCTCTGCTCATTAAACACTAGGGCTAGAAACTGTACATAAAGATGCTTATTTTATGAATTTCTTTGTTTTCACATGAATTGTGGTATTTCTGTCATTTGATTCACTTTCAAGATTACATTAAAATGGTATGTAGGGGTTCGTTTTGCACCTGAAGTATGACAAATGTGCAAATTTTTTGGCCATCCATAAGTAAAACAAAATAGCTAAGGTAAATGATTAGGACTCTATGGAATTGATTTGAAAATACGGAATTGTCTAACTTTACCATTTGTTTGGGTATCATGATTGATTTTAGAGAGAGAGAAAGAAAGAGGGGGGAGACAGAGAGAGGTGAGAGAGAAACATTGATTGGTTGCCTCCTGTATGTGCCTAACTGGTGACTGAACCTACAACCTAGGTACGTTCCCCAGCCAGGAATTGAGTCTGCAACCTTTCAGTGCATTAGACAATACTCCAACCAACTGAGTCACATGGCCAGGGCAAACCTAAACTCTTAACCTGGAAGGCAAGGCCTTAGGTGAGCTGGTCCTCACCTCTCTCTCCAATCTCCTTTTTAAAGCTTCTACTTCCACACTCTCCCTGTGCTGGCTTTACCTACACTCTTCTGAATGTACCACTATTCTTTCATCTGAAAATCATGTGCACACACACACACACACACACTTCTCTCTCTCTCTTTGAATTCCATTTGCTCACCTTTTTGAAGCCTCCTTGTTTTTCAAGGAAGATCTTGCATCTCCATGTTTTTGAAATCCCCTTTGAACTATAGATCCCTAAAGACTTTTAATGATACCTACTTAAGATCAGCATTTTGTTCTCCTATCAGGGCGAACATATAACTTTTCATACTCTAGTTATATGCTTATAAAAGTACCAAACACTCCAGACCACAGTAAATATGAGGCAAAGGGCTCTGACTCTCTCACTTTTATGTGGCCTGAAGTGAATACAATCCAATATATTATGTGAGTGCTTTCTGAATTAATGAATGAGCATTCTAAAATTGAAGTTCTTCCCTTATTTTTACCATAAGACTATTTCCTTAGGTGTGAAGATGTGGTAAGGTTGGGGAAATGCAAATACTTCTAGCGATATGCAAAAATCCCTCAAACAATCACCTAGAGGCTTTAAATCAGCCTACTATGGGTCATATTTTATGAGTGTCCAATGAGCACTGAACTAGGAATAAGGAGATCTGTATTCTCCTCATGGCCTTAGCACTCGGTAGTTATATGATCCTGAGACAGGCACTTAACTCATGTACATAAAAAAAATGAGGGAGGTGAAAGAAATGACATATATGAGATTTTAAGATTATTTCCAGGAACTTATAAAACTGAATGTAGTACTTGAAAGAAAATTTGACTTATTCAAGTTCATTATAACTCATTCCCTTAAAGAAACAAATGTTTCCAGAGCAAACGTGCTGTAATGAGCAATGATTCTAGTGTCAACTCTGGCCAGATAGCTGAGTTGGTTGGAGCATCGATCTGATAAGCCAGGTTTGCAGGTTCAATCCCCAGTCAGGGCACATATAAGAATCAGCCAATGAATGACTAAATAAGTGGAACAGAAAATCGATATTTCTCTCTCTCCCCCCTTTTTCTGTCTCTCTCTCCCTACTTCTCTTTCTCTAAAATCAATATAAATTTCACCATGGCTTTAAATAAATGCATTAAATGACTGTTGTAATAGAACAGATGATCAAATTTGATGTTCCTTTTGAAAAATGAAGGTATCAGTTTTCATCATCTTCTAAAATAAATATGTGGAATAGTATTGCCAGGGCCCCTCAATAGCACAACTTAAACTGTATTATATTCTACCAACATTGTGGTTTAATTAGGGTCTATACCTAAGTATAAATAACTATTGTTTACAAAGTCAGCTGTACATGGGTATAGATTTCTCTTGGTAGTAGAATTAAAGCATGCATTCAGATATTTATAAACATTTTACAGTTCAAAATACCAAGTCACCTATATAAATATTTTACAGTTCAAAATACAAGTCACCTAATTCTAACTTAATAAAAAAAAGATCTAATACAATTTTAAAGAAAGGCCTTATCTTTTTGTACTTCAGAACACCAAACTGAAAGATTTGGTGGATTTAAGGTTTTATTGTGTTAATTAATTTAATGTGAATGTACTATTGACTAGATTGAGCATATAATTGGAGATCAAATTCTTTTAAGTGTTAGGTTGAGAGGGCCCTTCTCCTTGGTAGAGGATGTTAACACTCACACAGTGGTTGAGAGATATATTCAACATCTGCTATGTGTCAGGTTAGGTGCTTTACAAATACTGTCTTATTATCACTGGATCCATAAACAGCATTGCATTATAAAGGTGTATACTAATATTGACATTTATGAATGAGGACAATGAAGCTCAGAGTGGTCAGTACAAGTTGAAATTTTACCCTAGTTGTTTGATTCAAAGGCTATGTTCTCTTAACAGCGCACTGACACCAGCAAATTAAATGTAGCTAAAAAGGCAGCATTGGGCCTGTGCCTCCAGAGGGAGCTGGTATGAGGGGTGATGTAAGCAGAGCACCAGAAAGGTGCAGGGCAACATGAACTGCATCCTAGTGCAGTACTTCTCAAATTTTAACAAGCAGATAAGTCATATGAGGATGCCGTTGATTGCAGAGTGTGGTACAGGTCTAGGCCGAGGTCTGAGATCCTGCTATTCTAACAACTCCCCAGTGATGGCAATGTTGCCCATCCAGGGACCACGAGTCTACTAATCAAGAGCTAAAGCCAGTGACCAATTCAGCACCACGGACAGCGGACCAGGTACGCTGTCACCATCACCTTCTCTGACATTTCTTTCAAATTTCTTAATATCTTCTGCTGCTGGATTACGGTAACAAAACACACAGATAACATTTTTTAAAGTTACTTCGTGAATTTCTATCAGCCCTCTGGTGACCTCCCCCCCCATTCATATAGGTACAAATCTGTCCTGAGAAGAGAACTGGGGCTTCAGAAAGTGTGCCCCTTTTGTATTTTTAAAACGTATGTTGCCAGTGCTCCTAGGGTAAAAAAAAATTAATCAAGTTTATTATCAAGTAAGGAAGTTAATACAGAATTCATAAAATATTTAAGTAATATTACCAGCCTCAATATTATAAAATATTTACTTGAGAGGGGTAGCACTCTTACACATTTGATGAACAGAAATTAGCAACAAATTTTTGCTGCTAAATCTACTGAACTATTAGTCAATTGTATATGATAAGAGAGAAAAATTTAAACTATGTCAAAGTGCTAATCAAAGACAGAGTAAAAAGTGATTTTAATATTTTAAAATGTGTTTCCGCTCCCTTTTCCTTTCAGTGTATTTGTTCCACCAAATTCTGTATTATAAGGATAGAATCAGACAGATCACTTTCCTTGATTGACATTGTTTTCATTTATACCCTGCTTTGAAACAGCAACTATGGCTGCCAGCAGCAATACCCCTGGGACTTTAAGACTATCAATCTATTTCACAGCTGGAGCAAAATAATTCAGATAACAGTTTGGAAAACAATTCAACTTCTTTTCCTTTGAAGATATTTTTGTTTTCTGGTTGAGGACTGCCTTCTCAAGTCTGGACATACGATGGGCTACACTTATGGCAAAATAAAATGGGTATAATTTCATGTAAGTTTTCTAATAAGCCCTTCCTTAACTGTGTTACACAATCTACTTGAGAATACTTACTGTTTTTCATTCCACTGTATGTTCAAAATTAATACATTAAAATTTTATGTAAACCCATTAGGTTTACATTTGTATTGTACCAAGAGTGAAAGTGTTGATCTTCCTATTTCAACATTTTTCTCAAATTAATTCTTGATTCCAGAGGAAGAGCCTTCCGTTTTGTTTTTACTATGTAACTAGAATTAAAACAAGTGTGTGTGTGTCTAACTGCATGTTAAGGAGCTATGTCACTGGTAAAGAGTCTTACATGTATTATTTCATTCAATTTGCACAAAAGTACCTTGCAATGGTACTTAGTTCTGACTTAAGGGATGGAAGAAATAATGTTTGAAATCCCTTTGTAAGTAGCTAATTGAGCCTGAATCACAGGGAGGACTGCTCTCTTCCACTATGCACTCTTGTAAGATGGGCTTGTTCTAATGGAAATTTACACATCTCAGAAGGATACGCAAAAAGTATTATGTGTGAAGTACAGTGCAGCTTGATGGTAAGAGGTCCCATCTATTACTTTAAAAGTGGGTATGGAGCTAAATTCAAATTTTATTGCTGGTACGGTATAGTCACTGGGATTTTCTCAGTTGAGGAGATACCAGCCATTAGCAGAGATTAAGTAATTTCCCTGAGTTTGTCTTCAACACCAGGGAAGAATTTATAACTAATATTTCAGGAGTTGCTAGGTCTACTCAATTGTAGATAATCCTCTATTTAGAAGACATGTTACCCTAGTCTTTTCTGAGACTGAGAGTCATTATTTTTAAAATAAATGTAAATAATTCCCTTTTGGTTGTCTTATGTATGTAGTTCATCTTTCTGCTACTTGGGCTGAGTCATTGAAATTTAACTAATGGCTGAGTCATTGAAATTTAAAGTTAATTTAATTTAACATAGTTAAATTTGAGGAATCATCAATATCTGTGGCCACTAGCATGTGCTAACTCTTTAATCAGTCTCCCTTTGAGGAAAGCTCAGTTATTCAATGTCTAAGATGGTTAGATGACCATTTTTAAATTTCACTGCTTGTCTTAGATAAGATGTCTTGCTTAATGATTTCTAAGGACAATCTGAGCCTGTTCCTCATTCCCTGGGAAGCTAGTGACCATAACCTGGAGGTATCCACTACCAGGAGCTTTGTAGAAAAGGTGGCTTCAAGGTATTGCTTTATAAAATGTACAGGTTGCAACTAGAAGCAAGGCCCAGTAGAATCACACACCTTTGATGAGGTGCCTGGACGAATGTGTAAGAGAACCTAACAGAGTGAGCAGGTGGTTGTGGGCTAAAATGTGCTATATGCAGGTAAAAATAAAACTACAGATGCTTTATAGCCATGACTCATTCTCCACATCCTCCCAACCCCTTTAGTTAGTTTTTTTTTTTAAATTTTGATTGTGAACTTTTTACTAAAAGTGCCAAATCTCCAAATACTGGTAGTCAAGATAGAAAGATTGTACCACAAGCAATCAAATTCTACAGCCTCTTACCTGATTTCCAAGATTTTTTTTTTAATGTGGAAAGTTTTGCATGGAATTCTCCTACCCCCTCTCTCCCTTCCCCACTCACACATTTTCTACCTCCAGAAACAAACTCCTCTTGAAAAGGGAGTTCGGCAGACCACACATTGAAATGCACCATGCACCACAATGATACACTTGCCTTCTAATCTAGCGATTGTCAACTTTTTCCACCTCGTGACACATAAACTAATTACTAAAATTCTGTGACAAAAAAATTGATTCATCTACACCAGATGGCTATCATGTTGGCTGTTGTCATTTTTTGAAATCTGACAGTCTAAGGGAAAAGAAGTCAGCGTGCCTGACTAAAGAGTCAGGTATCACATGTCTTAAATTCTTATGGCACATCAGTTGAAAACCGCTGTTCTAGTCCGTCACCTAAAATACATCCAGGAGACACACGGGCTCACCCCACTCCCAAGAGCTGGGAGCTGGGAGCCCTTGTGCTCTGACGTGCTCTGGGCTGTGGTTGGAATAGCAGGTATTCCAGTTTTACACGAAACTTTATTTGCTGAATTGACTTGCTATCATCACTTCTGCCTCTGCCCACTTGGAGGTAACTGTCATATTGGTTTACCTTGTGAACAAGGCACAGCCTCCACTCACTGAATGGTGTCGGGAGGGAGGAGTAGTATTTCTCGTTGGCTTTGATGTTTGGAGTTGAACCTCAGCACTGTTCTTCGTGGCTTTCCACGATCCACTTCATCCTCCTCGTCCCTGTCGCTTTCCCAGAGCCCCTTTCCGGCCAGACCCGTGGTTTACCAGTCGGACGCTCCAGAGCGCCGTGGACAGTGCGGGCGTGTGCGGTGTCGCTCGGAGCCGGTGTGGCTCCGCTCGCGCAGCGCCCGCGCAGCCCGCCAGGGGGACCCCGGCCCGCCCGGCGGCGTCTGATGAGAAAAGAGTCCGAGGGGCGTGGAGCCGAGGCGCCGGCTCCAGGAAACGCGGATTCGGCAGGGACTCTGCTACTGCCCTGCAGACCGGGGGTCCGGATCTCCGGCTCCGCGAGCCGGGTTCCACCCCAGAGAGCCCGCGCCCTGCCGTGGGTGTGTCCCTTTCCATCCTCCGGCCTTCCAGGCCCGAGAAGACCTCCTGCAAGCGGGTATTTTGTTTCCCAATACAGGTCTGGTCTGGGTGACCCTCGCTCTGCAAGTGCAACTTTGCGGCTGGGCGCAGGTCTGGGGGTGGGGGTCCCGGAGTGGGGAAGATCAGATCGCGTCTGCACGGGTCACTGGGAGGCGGGACCGAGAGTGGAGGCGGTAGGGCCGGGGGAGTTCCCCGGGGTCGTGGGCGGTTGGGAGATTGGCTGCGGGCGGCTGTCGTGCGGCTACGCTCCTGGAAGCCAGCCTCGAACCCGCACCCAGCCCCCCATCTGCCTCGTAGGTACTTAGGGCGGGAGGTTTCGCTGGGGTACGTCTGGAGCCGAGCGGAAAACTTTTCCCTTCCCAGTCCCAAGGTCTCTTTTGTCTTTCTTGGCGGTGGCGACGCCTGAGCTGTGATTCCCTGACCCCGGCCCCGCGCGCCCCGCCTGCTGACCACCGAGGGCCGGAGCGCGGGGATTCCTTGCGCCCTATGGCTGCGGCCAGTGGGCCCCCGACTGGTGGGGGTCACAGGCAGTCGCGCGCCCTCCCCTCGGAGGCCGACGCCGATCCGAAGGTGCGGGAGTAGGGGCGTCCCTGTCCCCCCTCCACGGTCCTGCACCCGTCGCCACCCTCCCCCCCTCCTGACTCATCCGCCCCCGGTGGCCGCGCGGCATCGCTGCCCGAGCCCCGCCGAGATGGGGAGGAAGACGGAGGCTGCCGGCGGCTGCCGAGATTTCTGCTGACGCCCCCGACCCCAACGCCGCCTCCTCCGCTCGTCTCCGGTGGCGCCAGACGTCCCATCAGCTCTTGGGGTGAGAGCCCGGAGAAGCGACTGTACCTCCAAGTCCCCGTGCTCAGGACAGGTGAGGGGGAAGGAAAGGGTGCTGTCGGCGTGGGGAGATGGGTGGGCAACCCCTGCGGCCGAAACGAGGCTTACCTTCACCGCCCCCTTCCCCCTGCTTCAGCTTCCAGAGTTAGGGTACACAGTCTCCTGAAGTTTGGGAAATAAACTAAGTCCACCATCCTCAGTTCTGGACTCCCGGTCCCTGAGCGCAGGACCAGCGGTGCGGAGCAGCCTCCGAGATCCCGGAGCCCTGGCTGGGTTTCTCTAAGCTGCACCCTCCTTTGTTTCTGTTCCAGAGTCAGCATTCTCTGTAAAGATGTTCACGGCGTTCATTTATAGTAGTTCTTGGCAGGAGCAAAATGTGTTCAGGGGCTCCCGAAGCATCATCTGTATGTGGTAGTAACTAGATAGGCAAAATGGAGAGGCGAAGCAATTATTTGCCAAATTCAGCGTTACTTTTCTTCCTATACAGTCTGTCCTTAAGAGAAAGGGCTGAGGGTTTGCAAGATTTGCCTCATTAATCATTCTTTTGCTCTAATTAATTGTTCAAGCCAGCATTTTATATTGTGTGATTGTAAGCTCTCTACTGTGTATTTTCTGCCCTTAGGTTTACATTGAAAATTGTGTGTGTATGTATTTGTGACAAAAGCAATTCATTGTTCAGTGCCAGGCATTGATAATGTCAGAAAGTCATATGCTTCACATCTATGTAATTTACTGATTGTGGTCAACCCCGGTACACCATAGTCTGGTGTACGTGAGAAGTAAGTACCCTGAACTAGTGTCTCTTACCTACCTTGCTTTTTCTTCCAAAGACCTTCAGAAGTAGTGTGGACAATTGTGTATATTGAAAACATTTCAAGAGTCAACAGCTGTTCTTACTTTTTCAGTAAGAATATTAAACTCTTGGTTTTGCAGTCAAACCAAGGTCTAAGGTACAGTAAAAGCTGTTGACTTTGATGGTTTGTCATGCTTTGCATTGCAGTAATACTTATTACATAAAATGACCTTCAGTTTATTATTTGGCTATTGATACTAGAATATATAACCATTTTGCAAAAAGTAGGCTAAATTTTGAAACTTCTTAGTCTCACGCTATCCTTCTGCTACGTGCTTTCATTCTTTTCAAACAGCTTACGTGAAGAGAAAGTGTCCTTTTAAACAAAATATTTCCACTCTGTGGAAATATAGTTAAAAGCTTTAGCAATTTAATGTTATGGTGGGGTTTTTTTTGTACTCTTAAAAATATATTCTGAGGTGTTAGGAATGACTTTCTCTAAGGAAGTCCTAAATAGAGAGCCCATAACTGTGAGATGATTTAGCCGTAGTGTGTAACCCTGGTTATACATAGCTCGGTGTCCCAGGCTGGGGAAGCTCAGTGACAGACAGTTGTCGCGTGGGCCTGTTCTGTGTGCAGTTTCCAGGCAGTCGGCACAGGCAGGTTTTACCTGTCGCTTCTGTGGCAGGTCCAGGTAAATGCGCGTAGTAGTATCCCAAAGACACCCATAATCGGAACAGGTTCTGAAGGGAAGGTCGTTGTGAAGAAGGGTGGCCGTACTTGTTATTTTAACTCAGAGACACTTTTGGTGAAGATTTTGAGTGCATGAAGAGTTAGATTGTGGTAGCTGGACTGGTGTGCTTTCCACATTTTGACAACAGCTCATTGGGCAGAGAAAAGCAACTACCGATGTGTAGGGGGAGTAAGTCTGAATTGTTTGTTTAAATGTTCTCATTCTCACAGTGACTCTTCTCCTAATGGAAAAGAAATTCGTCTTTACCTAAGGGAAACAGGGAGGAAGAAAGATAAAAGCAGATGTCACTTTTTATATTTCTTAAACTAAATAAGTAGAAGACAAAATATGTCCTCATGGCAATGCATATTGCTTTTCTAGTAGAAAGTAGAGTTTAAAAGAGGAGGTAGTTTAAAAATAAATTTCATTTAATTTTACTCTCCTTAAATGGGAGACAGCATGGGAAGTCTTCATCAACAGAAACACAATTGGAATAGGAACTTGTGTAGGCATGAAAGAGGCAAATCTGCAGTGAGATGGCCCATTAATTTTGTTGAAGAGTATATGAATTGCAGTTTTATCAGGTGTGTCCATTTTCAGGTCTGTTTTGTCTGCAAAGGTGTGACATGTACCCAAGCACCGAGAAAGCTCAAAGGAACACTTGTAGGGTCATGCTCCCTTCTGCAAGGCAAGGTAGCTGCTGCTCCTATGGGAGCTTATGGGCTGCTGAAGAGGGGATGGGAAAACGTGCCCCTGGTCATTAAGGGTCTGGGGTGGTCCTTGAGCATTAGGGGTTGCCAAAGGCATTGGAAAGGGAATTGGAAAAACCAAGTTGTCATCCTGACAAAGCCACTGATCATATGACCCTGAGTACATCCCTTCGGCATTTCTGAGACTTTGCCATCATTGACAGATCAAAGCTTTTGGAATATGACCTTTCCAAAGCTTTTGGACTGTGATCTTTCCATCCTCTTTTTTTTCCAAATTCTTTTTTTAAAGATGGGAAGGAGGGAAGGAGAGAGGGAGAGCAATATCAATGTATATTTGTCTCTCACGAATCCCCTGCTGGAAACTGGCCTGCAACCCAGGCATGCGCCCTCGGAATTGAACTGCGATGTTTTGGTTCGCAGGCCCGAGCTCAATCCACTGAGCTACCCTAGCCAGGGCTCATCCTCTTTTTAAAAACACTGCCTGACAGTCCTAGAGGCACTAAGGAAAGGGAGAAATCTGAATTGAATGGAGAGGTGTTGGTGCCTAGTAGAGTTTGGGTTGGGGACAACCCTGGGTATGGGTATTGTGATGACAACAGGAGGTAAGGAGATCTGACCTGGGGCATCTGACCAGCATTGATTGTCTGTGTTCACAATGCTCAGTCAAGTAAATACCAGCCTTCACTTGGTCCTTGATGTTTTTTAGTGAATTTTCACAAGTAATGGCAAATGATTTTCACCACAACCCAAGAAGCAATTAGAGCGGAAAGGTGATGAAACCAGGACTAATGCTGCAAAGTAGCTTGGAGGTGCAGGCTCCGTTGCCTTTCTGCAGGATTTGTAGAGATAAGAGAAGCTAAATAGGACATGCTTTGGATATCTTGTGGAAATGGGAGAGAGCAATAAGCTTGGTTGAGATTGTAGTGGAGGTTCAAACTTCTGAGTAAAAATTTAGGTTGCATTCTGGAAGGGAAGGGTCTCCAGTTATGAAATAGAGACTTGAAACATCTTGAGTTCTGATCGTTGTTGAAGTTTAGTCTGATGACTCCTGTCTGTGCTTCTTCTCAACTCCCCTCCCTCTCCTTCCCCAGCAGGAATTCTGGGGATTTGATTATTATTACAGAGTCATTGATAAGACTCTTCCAAGAGCTTTTAGAGCAACTGGTAAAAGGAAACCCTCATATAAAGGTGTGGATTCTTGGGCCATTGTGCTGTGAATTAATGGGATATGTTCCAGTAGCAGGTTGTGCTTTGAAAACTTTGTTGCCAGAGGTGAAATTACACAGAAGTCGCAGAAATTACACAGCAAGGTGAAAAGATGTGGAACTGTACATTCCTTCCTGCAGTGCCCTCTTCATCTGCTCAAAGCATTAAGTATATCAAGGGGGACAAGCCCCCCCTCTGTGTTCCTGTGGAAGGGGTTGGTCGGACTTCATCTGGTTATACATACGACGGTTAACTAGGTTAGGCAAAGAGGAAGATTTATTGACTCACGTGCCTGGAAAGTCCAAAGGTGGACTTTGCTTCAGTCATCACTGAATGCCAGAGACACACAGTTCTGTCAGTGTTCTTTCTCTCTCTCCCTGCTTCTCAGCTCCTCTTCTGGGTGAGTTTCATTCTGAGGCCCTTTTCCATGTGCCAGGAAAGATGATTGTCAGTGGTTCCAAGCCTGCATTTCTGAGTGTTAGATCCATAAGAAAGAAGAGGTCCTGTTGCTTCTAGTTCCCATGTATAGAGATCTCCTAGAAGGACTTGGATTGGCTCTGCTTCGATGTCATTAAATGAGTCTTTATGTCTATCAGAGAGGGGCATCATGATAGCCTTAGACTGGACTGTGTGCCCAGAACTGTGTGCATGGGATGCTAGTGGTAGAGTGGGGGTGGCTGTTAGGGGCACCATGACGGACAGTTAGGTCCACTCACATGCAGGTGTGGTTCTCCTAAGCTAACGATGCGGTCAGTCGAAAACAACAGTCTACGGCTGTTAAAGAGAGTTGCCCATCCTTATTTGGGACAGTCACCTGCACTGTGATATCAAGTTTGCGCAGGGAGACAACTCAAATACCATGCGAATTCCAGAAACGGGACCCTTCTCTCAGCTAAGGCAAAGCCTGGTGATGAAATAATGCCCCTTGTGTCTTGACGTTGCCAAAAGAACTGTAGTTCATAGAATAGTATTGAATGAAGAGCTTGCCATTTATCTGTATCTATGTACTTTTAGCAAACACTTTGTGCCTTATCTCCAGCCTAGGAATTTCATTTCCGGAAGCCCTGGTCACCTAGAGATCATGAGATTGGAGATTACTACTTTAAGCATTATAGATCAATGAAAGTTTGAGCAGGGAAGTGAAGCAATGAACACAGAACTGCTTATATAAATTCATTGGGTTTGTGGGAGATTGGACAGAGGGGAAGCAGCAGGCTCAGGTTAAAGTTATCACTTAGGTGCATAAGGGAATAGGTCCCAAATTAGAATACTGGTATATGTGGACAACATTGCGAAAGTCTGGTGGGGTTGTATGACAGGATGAAGGAGCATCTGTATTAACAGGAGCATTTTTGTGATGAGCTGGATCAAGAAGGACTAGGCTAAGTGGATGGGCTGGGCCAGTGGGTGAAATGGATGTGTATTATGGGTAGGTTCATGGCAACCAGACTATGTAGAAAGGATGTCTGTGGTCACTGGAAGTCCTAGGGACAAAACCTTTATATGTGTAGCTTTGACTCTTATTGAAGACCTACATAATAGACTAGGTCCCATGTTATTTCCATTATATTAAACCTCATAATAGTCCTCTG